AGATTTAAAAAAAAAAAATTAGGAGAAAGAAGTTTTACTGCTCCAAACCATTGAAGAATTTGAAAAGACTTAGCAACAAATTCAACATAAATTATATGCTACATCCATTTAAAAGGTGGTTTTTTTTTAAGTAAAAAAAACGTAGTCTAGCAGCTTACATTCATAATTTTGAAAATCCAAAAGTTTCGTCTTATTAAAATCACTTTGAAAACTGTAATCTCTCAATTTATAATATCAGTTTGAAAATTAATTACACCCCTCTACATTCTATTAAATCTCTACACCCCCTCTATATCTTATGTTATCACTGCTAAAAAGGAACATGTTCTTTTTCAAAAGTGAGAAAACTACTCCTCCAAGACTACACAATTTTAAAATGTAAAAAGGCCAACCGAAAATTGAAAAAGGTAACTTTCCTACTTCTTGTAGTGTTTATTTAAATTTGGCTTACTATTACTTCTTAAATTTTACAGTGCGTGATATATATAATTTTTTCCTTTCTAGACAATTCTATATCGTTTCTTGAATAAATGTTGTTTTTTTCCAAGCTCATACTGTAGAAATGTTATGACAATTACATTAATTTTATTGCTAAATTTATTTATTGATCAAATTTCATGGTAAGAATATATGAATCTTTTATGCTCTTTTTCTTTGTTTCCCTCATTCAGTTCATAGAGATGATCCATATTGTACTTGAAGTTTTAATTAATTATTGTAGCTATTTTATATTTCAATTTTATAAATATTGCCGAGTTTGTTTGGCCATAACATGATTTTTTACTAATAAAAAGCACAATATTGTGTTTCAGTATGAAGCTACTTTTATTTTAACATTGACTCTTTGATATAACAGTTTGGTAACCAAACTTTGGTTGAGTATAAAGTTTTTTCTTATTCTTTTGGATGCACTAATTTTCCAGTGCAACGAGCTTAAGAATTTAGCATCACGAGATGTGCAAACTTTGCACTATAGAGAAGATGAAAACAAGTTTTTTCTTCTTCTTTGTAGCACTACTCTTAACTAAAGTTGATCACTTATTATGTTTTGCAAATAAAGTTTTATATACCTATTTCGGATACCTTTTGGCTAAAAGAAACAGTGTTACAAATTTGATGCCTTTGAAGTAGAAAAATTTATGCGAGTAAAGGTTTAATCTATTTTTTTGACATGAGTCGAGAAAGATAGCTGCCATCGAGCCTTTAAATTGTTATGACGTTGCATAGCTTCAATCAAGATGTATGAGTATTGACATAATAAAATATTTTGATTTTTCTATTCAAATATGTCTTTGTTGTGGTTTGCAATTTTCTATTTCTCTTTTAAACAGTGACATTCATTATGGATTGAATCCCACAATAAGTATATTTATATTTATTGATATTATAGATTAATGTGTCAAATATATGAAATAAATATGCTATACGAATGGATGGACCAAAATTATACATCACATTTTTATTGGCTTGTGGTATATGTACACATCATGCTTAATTGTCTAGCTAAATTTAGTTATGATATTTGACAAACTCAAACTGTATTTACAATCATGTTCAGACTTGTATGTTTCAAATGGAATTTTGTGTAACTTATTATTTACCAATATTAGTGTTGCTTATATTACTTTAAAAAATGTGTATCGATGCATGGGATACACATGCAGAGCACGTGTTCAGAAACTAGTATATTACTATAAGTGGGAACAAATAAAGTTGAAACTTGAAATATCAAAATATCCCTATAAAATTGAGTTACTACAATAATGCCATTAAAAAAAAGCTACTCTACATTAAAATGTTATAAAATATTTATTTAATTATATTTAGATAGTAATTATATAATATTATAGTATATAACACTAGAAAATCCAAAAGTTGTAGTAAATACTATTCATACAATTAATAAATTAGTAAGAGACTATATACATTTAACCGTATGTCATTAGTATATGAATAACTTGGATGTTTAGACTTCTCCTTATAGTTCGTGAAACGTGTATTTTGAATTTCCATAGACTTAATAATTTGTATTTACTATTTCTTGAACTTTGTATCACTTGTTTAGTACTTAATTATGTTTATTTAATGTCAATCTTGAATTGCTTCATCTTCCGATCTTTATTGCAATATTAACTTTTGAAATGTCAATGTACATGTAGTCAATCATGATTTAGCAGAATTGAGCTTTTGATGATTTAGTAGTGAACCAGCATGGAGACGTAATCATGGTTGTCTAATATATGTTGCTTCTTGAAAAGGTATTTGGTATATGAAATGAAGTTTTTTGTTATTTTCTTGTTGCATCTTTTAACCAGATTAAAATTACATACTTTTGAATAAACCTAAAGATTATGTATCACATTATAAAAATAATGGAGTTACTGGACATGTATACATGGGAATAGCATGGTTGCCTCTAATGTGGTACATCGTTTTCTATATACTTGTGCCTTTTTTGGTTGGTAAAAAGCAAGTTAGTCCTATTTAGGTGTTTTAATCATTTTTTTAATATTATAAGTATCAACGCTAATTCTATGTCAACAACTCCGATAATGCTAGATGGTATATTATCTTAATTAGTTTTACATAGTTCAACATTTCCTATTTCGTGAACTACACCCTCCGTTCTTTTGTAACTGTTACTATTTTATTTTTAATAGTCAACTATATAAACTTTAACTAACATTTTCAGATGTATTTTTTCCATCATAACTAAAATTGTGTTAAAATTAGATGATATTGTTTTTGACTAAACACATATTTAGTAGAATGATACATAAAATTAGGCATGTACAAATTTTATAAAAATAACAGTCAGGCATCCTCGGGTCAGGTATCCTCGGGTTAGGCGTTCTTGGGGAGTAGGTCTCCTCGAGCCAGGAGTTCTTCTCGGGGAATAGGACTCTCCTCGGGTTAGGCGTTCTCGAGGAATAGGTCTCCTCGGGTTAGGCGTTCTCTGGGAGTAGGGCTCTCCTCGGGTCAAACGTCCTCAGAGAGAAGGCGTCCTCAAGTCAGGCATCTTCGGGTCAGGCGTTCTCGAAAGTAGGTCTTCTTGGGTCAGGCGTCCTCAAAGAGTAGGTCTCATCGGGTCAGGCGTCCTTCGGGAATAGGTCTCATCGGGTCAGGCATCCTCGGGTTAGGCATCCATGGGGAGTAGGTCTCTTCGGGTCAGGCATTCTCGGGGAGTAGGTCTCCTCCGGTCAGGCATCCTCGGGTTAGGCATTCTCGGAGAGTAGGTCTCTTCAGGACATGCCTCCTTAGGTCAAGCGTTCTCGGGTCAGGCATCCTCTAGTCAGGCGTTCTCGAGGAGTAGGTTTCCTCGGGGAGTAGGTCTCCTCTAGTCAGGCATCCTCGAGGAGTAGGTGGAGCCTCTGGTCAGGCATCCTCGGGGAGTAGGTCTCATTCGGTCAGGCATCCTCGAGTTAGACATTCTCCGATCAGGCATCCTCGGGTCAAGCGTTCTCGGGGAGAAGGTGGAGCCTCCGGTCATGTATCATTGGGGAGTAGGTTTCCTTCGGTCAGGCATCATCGGATTAGGCATTCTCCGATCAGGCATCCTCGGGTCAGGCGTTCTCGAGTCAAGCGTCCTCGGGTCAGGCGCTCTTGGGTCAAGCATCTTCGGGTCAGGCGTTCTCGGGGAGTAGGTTTCCTCGGGTCAGGCATTCTTGGGTCAGGCGTCCTCGGGAGGTAGGTCTCCTTGGGTCAGGCGTTCTCGGGGAGTAGGTGGAGCCTTCGGTCAGGCATCCTCGGGGAATAGGTCTTCTCCGGTCAGGCATCCTCGGGTTAGGCATTCTCCGGTCAGGTATCCTCGAGTCAGGCGTTCTCGGGTCAGGCATCCTTGGGTCAGGCGTTATCGGGTCAGGCATCCTCGGGTCAGGCATCTTGGGGTCAGGCGTTCTCGGGGAGTAGGTCTCCTTGGGTCAGGCGTTCTCGGGGAGTAGGTTTCCAAGTCAGGCATTCTCGGGGTACTCGATCTCCTCCGGCCAGGCATCCTCGGGTCAGGCGTTCTCGGGTCAGGCATCCTTAGGTCAGGCATTCTCGGGTCAAGCATCCTCAGGTCAGGCATTCTCGGGTCAGGTCTTCTCTAGTCAGGCACCCTCGGGTCAAACATTCTAGGGTCAGGCATCCTCGGGTCAGGCGTTCTCGCGGGGTAGGTCTTCTCCGGTCAGGCATCCTCGGGTCTGGCGTTCTCGGGTTAGGCATCCTTAAGTCAGGCGTTCTCGGGGAGTAGGTTTCCTCGAGTCAGGCATCTTCGGGTCAAGCGTTCTCAAGTTAGACATCCTAGAGTCAAGCGTTCTCAGGGAGGTTTCGTCGGGTCAGACATCCTCGGGTAAGGCGTCCTCGGGGAGTAGGTCTCCTTGGGTCAGGCATCCTCGGGTTAGGCGTTCTCAATGAGCATATCTTATCGGGTCAGGCTTTCCGAGGTCAGGCATTCTCTGGGAATAGGTCTCCTCGGGTCAGGCATCCTCGGGTTGGGCGTTCTCAGGGAGTAGGGTTCTCTTCGAGTTAGGCGTCCTAATGGAGTAGGTCTCCTCAGGTCAGGCGTCCTCGAGTTAGGCATCCTCGAGATAGGGCTGGATATTTTCAAGGTTTTTTTAAAAAAAAATAGATACTTTATTTCAAATAATCAGATGTTCTTTTAAGAAAATCGATTTTCAAGAAAATAGAGTCTTCACTTAATTTTTTAAGAAATTAAGAAAACTTGTAATTTTCAATAGACTTAAAACTAAAAAGGGAGTTCGGAGTTCAATTTACACTTGAAAAAATTGTTAGGCACTTGAAGTGTCTGCTAACGTGCGGTTGACGTAGTACGACTTGACTAAAATTTGAAAATACTTATTTAAAGAAAACTCATTTTTATTTGAAAGGAAAAAATAAACTAAAAAGGGATTTTTAAAAAAAGTAAAATAGCTCCTAATATTGAAAAACAACTAATAAATAAAAATAAGTGATAAATAAAATATAAATATTTCAATTAAACATAAAGGAGAAGAAACGACTATCTTTTGAAAATTTACTTAGATTAAACCAAATCAGATAAAAATATAGAGTTAATACAATAAACAAAATAATAATAAAAGAGGAGAGCAATGTCAGATTTGGGCTTTGGCCCAACCTGTCCTAAGTCTAATAATAAGTCAAAATAATGGGCTTTGACCCATCATAATCAACTGCTGGATATTCTTTGGGCCGTTTGACCCATTGTTGTTGCTTGGACCTACCTGTTGTGCAAAAGGATGGGCTTTAGCCTGTATACTCGGTATGCAGGCTGTATTATTGGGTCTTTTCCTGTATATTGAACTGTATCCCAAATGTATACCGCCTAAATCAGCTCTCGAACATCTGTATGTCGTTTTCGCCCAGTACTTTCTGTATTTTGACCTGTATATCAGTATATACTGATTGTATAAGGGCTGTATATCAACCTGTTTTCACCTCCAACGCTTGTATATGGTGTATACTTTAGTGTATACAGTCTGTTCTCTTGGACTTTTCTAAGTTGCGATCTGCTCTGGCCCTGTATATTAATTTCCGACTCAGCAAGAATAAGATTTGCGCCTGTTTGGCTAAAAAATGCAATGCAAAGGAAGAAAGGGGGAGTCCAGTGGACTCAGCATCACATGCATCCAAGAAAATAAAAAGAAAACAGAGGAGTTAATACATAATTAAGGTAATACATGAGGCATACATAATCAACCTTGACTGAATAAAATAAAATAAAATCGACAGGGCACCAAAAGTCATCATATACTTATATTAAGTTTGGGAAAGCAATATTTAGCACATTTTTATTTAGACAAGCTTCAAACTTAAATGGTAACAGCTTTAGGAAATTAAATAGCATAAATAAACAAGAGACCAATTTAAGGTAAGGAAAGGATTGATTAGTAGCTATGAAATAAAACAAAAGCAAACATATAAGTAATACTTTAATAACTGCTGAAACAAATTCCAGTGACTTCCTAATTGTTGACATCTAATCATTTATGAATTGAACAATAAGGCCAACAAACAAGATAAGAGGATTACTAACCAAAATAAATAAGAACAAAGCAAGAAAAAAAACACGCAGGGAGAGAAAAAGATTGACCCATTACATTTTAGGCTTATGAGCTCAATAAGAACATACACGGCCAACATGATCAGAAAAGAGAAATAGGCAACGACTTTGAAAGCAAACTACAATCTGGACAACAAACCTTATGAGCTTAACTACAAATAGTGAGCGCTTTTGACTAAACATTTAGGCAGATGGAAACATAAATTCGATTCAAACAAGACAGTCAGGGGATTTGAAAACAAGTTACTACATCAACAAAACAATAGATATAATACAAACAACCTTGCTTCAAGATTCTATCCTTATTTTGAAAAGAAAGCGCAAAACTGAATGTAAAACCTGACAAACAGAGATTCACAAGAAGAGGAGTCAAATAGGCGACAATACAAAATACAAAACGGCAAAACCCGACTTCCACATCAAGATTGAATCAAGGAAATCGATTAAGAACACATATATAGAAAATCGAAGTCATCAATTCTCATCTACAAATAACAGTGACACAACAACATAGTATCAAGGCATATAAGAAATAGAAGAAGACGAAGAGAAGGTTATGGAGGAAAGGATACCTTTCTCCGGGCAGCAACACTGGAACAACGACGAGCTTGGGTGATGAGCTAATCAACCACCAACGACGAAAACTCGAATTCCAAACAGAGGACCCAGAAATCTCACTGATATAAACACTATCGTTCAAACTTCTATTTCAATATTTGCTTGTCTATGCTTGGTGAATTTCAGTTTTTTCTTGTATCTTTTTTCACCCCCAAAATTGAAGGTAAAAGGGGGTTTAAATAGAGGGGATTTAGGGAAGATTTTTGGGGGGAAATCGGATGAGCTTTAGAATTAATTCAAATTCGAATTTCGAATTCTTGGAGGATAAGGTTCAAACGGCTTGTAATAGTACCAATTCTCAACGGATAACGGGCATGGAGATGGCTCCACCTGAACAATTCAAGAATGTTCTTGTACGGAAAGAATAAGGGAAAGAAGAGAGGGACGCGGGCTACGATTTCTGGGTTTCATTCGCTGGACTGAGGAAGACGAGGACGGGTGGGTGTATGTATTGCTGCTGTATGTATGTATGCTGGGTATTGTTGAAAGGATGGATTTGGGCCGGGTGTGCTGAAGGAATTGGAAATGAAGTTGGGCTGAAAAATTGGCCCAACTTTGGCTTTGAAAGGGAATTAAAAGAGTTGAAAGGCAAATGGTTCTCAATTCAAAAATGCAATTGACTTTAACAAATATAACCAAAACTCAAAAACGTTTTTACATGATTGAAAATGAAAGGGAATACAAGCTTTTTAAAACATATATTCAATGCATGTCATAAAAAATATTTTTTCAAATAGTGGTATATTTTATATTATATACATTATATATGCTTGAAAATTGTGCTAACTTATTTTATTGTCTCCCGTTAGATATGCTTAAACTTTTAATTTTTATTTTCTTACTTTATAGATATTTTTATAGAGAAAATTGTATAAAATAGCAAATTATTAATTCAAATTAAATGTTATAACCACAATTTCTTTTAATTCTAACACTTGTCATTCGCCTCTCTCCCCAGAAATCTCGCTCACCACTCTCCCTGATCTTCCTCGCCTCTCTCACTTTATAAAAACACAAACGTATAAATCGTGTTTGTGTTTGTATAAAGCGAGAGAAAATTGTATATACAAATACATACATTTTTGTCCTATATACTTATAATTATACAAATACAGATCTTCCCCTACCAGTTCTCCCTTGCCTTTCTCTCTTTCTCACTTCTAACAAACACAAATTATACAAATTACAATGTATAATTTGTGTTGTATAAAGCGAGAGAGAGATTTGATATACAAATGTTTTATTTTGATTCAATTGTATACAAATTCAAATTTTATGCAGATATACAAACACAATCATTGATACATATACATAGTAGTTACATATATACAATTATCAAGCCGATATACATATACAATCGCTGCGCTTTTATACAAACGAGATGTCTGCCTGCGATTGATACAAATCTGAGGCCTCATAGCAAACATACGCAATTATGCAAATTATAGCTATAGCATACAAATATGATTTTTATGTTTGCTAAGCCTAAAATTTACTATTTTTATATAGTTAGATCCATAACATAGATTAGAAAGAGAAAAAAATATCATAATATTCAAAAGTAAAAAATAGTAATGATAAATTGATAATTTAGAGAGTAAATAGATATTTGATTGGTTGAGTGACATTGTGAAATGTTATATATAAGCATAGATAATTTCAAATAATTGAAAGACCATTTAAGTAATGAACTCAAGAAAAGGTTATCATTGAATAATTATGTAATATAAACAGAGGTGGAGCCAATATTAGAGTTTGAAGGTTCTAAATTTCCTTCTCTTTTCTTACCATTAAATTGTCAATCAGTTTTGTTAAGGATTCATAGGTAATTACTTAATTTTCTAGTGCAAATATAGAGTCCACGAAAAAACTATTGAATTTGTCCGAATCCACGAACCCCCACCAGCTCCGCCCCTGGATATGAATAATTAGCTAGGTCAATTAGTTATTTGTGCAAGTCAATAAAACGCCCAACACATGCATGCTACCAAAAATTTGTTCAAAATAGAAATAAAATTTTGCAAGTTAAAGTAACATGACAGAAGGGAACAATATTTTAGAGGTGGGGACATGAGGCAGGATAATTTACTTAATATGGAGTGAGGTATAAATGTCATGAATTTTTATTTTTTATTAATATAAGTGTCAAAAACATACTTAAACTAACTCCATTTTTTTAGTTTGATACTCCACTATTGAAAATATGAATTTCATACCTAAATTATCACTTATTACTTATTAGTTTGATAAACACACTTCGTGTGTGTAATGCACTTTCTCTTTTATTTGAAAAAACCCGACACATGACATTCCACATGAATAAAATATTCCACCTTGACAAAAATTAAATAATAAACAATTAATATTAATAAAAAACTAATGGTTAAAGTATTACTATCCCAAAAAAGTTATATTAATCATTTTAAAAAAATTAAATCATGATTATAGAAACTAAAGAAAACAAAAGTCTAGCATCATTTTGCAAGTAGAAATAATGCAATAATGATATAGAAGTTATTATGATATCCAAATTAACACTTCCTCACCACTCAATGGAGAATAGAAGGATAGGCTACGACACTTCTTTTCTCACTTTCAATGGGTTCAGGTCATATTCTTAAGAGCAACTTTCACATATAGCAAACACAAAAATCATATTTGTATGCTATAGCAAAGTTTGCATAATTGCGCTCCATAGCAAACATAAATATGTATATTTCGCTATACATATACAAAAGAAAGCAGTTGTATAATCTGCTTTGGTATACATATACAAAAAGATCAATTGTATAAAGAGAGAGAGGCGAGTGAGCGAGCGAGATCTGGGAGAGTGGCGAGCGAGATCTGGGAGAGGGGAGAGAGGGGAACGAAAATATATGTATATATACACTTTTTTGTCGCTTTATACAATCACAAACGCATTTTATACAATTTGCGTTTTTTGTATAAAGTGAGAGAGGCGAGTCAGAGAGCGAGATCTGGGAGAGTGGCGAGTGAGATCTGGGAGAGGGGAACGAAAATATATGTATATATACAATTTTTTGTCGCTTTATACAATCACAAACGCATTTTATACAATTTGCGTTTTTTGTATAAAGTGAGAGAGGCGAGTCAGAGAGCGAGATCTGGGAGAGTGGCGAGCGAGATCTGGGAGAGGGGAGAGAGGGAACGAAAATTTATGTATATATACAATTTTCTCTTGCTTTATACAAACACAAACGCACTTTATACACTTGCGTTTGTATAAAAAATGAGAGAGGCGAGGGAGAGAACGAGAGTGGCGAGCGAGATTCACCAGGAGAGAGGTAAAATAGCAACATTTTGCTATGAGGTACAATTAAATCAAAACTATATTTATATCATTTAATTTGAATTAATAGTTTGCTATTATATACAATTTTCCCTATTCTTAACTCTCAAACAATAAGAATCACAGTTTCTTAAATATATGACTATCATACATGCAATTTATCTCCTTAAAAGAAAAAACATCAGTAAACTAGCCATTAGTATTATATATAATTAAAACACTCATTCATGAATAAAAATAGAATACTTTCGAATAACGAAATAATAAAATATACTAATAATTTAGACATAGGATAAAAACATGAAGATCAGTGACAAGTAAAGATATAAAATTTGACTATATATTTTAAAAAGAAATACTAAGTGTTATTGACTCTCAATGTGTTCATCAATCGTACATAAACAATAATACGATTTGCTATCTGAGTTACTCTCAATTTTCTTATTTCTATATGAATTTTAAAAAAAATTACTAAACATCATTAATTTATTAAAAATTGATTGAAGATCAACAAAAGAGTAATAATGACACCAACATTTTGACGATGATCATGTAAAAGGCTAAGAGAAGGCTGCCAAGAATCCAGGGAATATAATATGTCAAAGTTATACTATATGACCTCATTAATGAAATTCACGTCAAATAACACCTATTTAAAGATATTATACAAAACCTCAACTTGTCTTGTTAATAGTAATCCAAAACTAGTTAATTTCAATGCAAAATTAATTAATACTACTGTTTAGAACAATTGGGTTAGGTGATAGTGAGTGGTTATGGGAGTTGTTAGAGCTGATGCAATCTTTTTTTTCTCGTCATTACTATATATATTATAGACTGAGTCCGGCAGAGATTAATTACTGATTCAATTTGGAGAAATTCAAAAGTTGGTTGGAGCAATTATGGTGCTTATTGCTTATTAAATTAAGGGACCATATGTGGTGTGACTGGGCTGAACAAGTGGTACAGTTTACCAGTTTTGATTGATCTTGATTTGCATTTACTTTGTTTGTCTTGGGGTCCAGTACTGGGCTTGCTAGTTACAAGTGAAAATATCTACTTAGTCAACTGCTCAATATATGTATCGTAACGTGCTACAGGGCATTTGTTTTTCGTCCTATTGGTACCAAAGTCTGCATTGATTCCGAGAAATTGTAGATATTCTCATGATCAATCAAGAATTGTATATTGATCCGATGTATTGACGAAATTAAAACATGTAAATAAGAGAACATGTAACGTGAATCCACTTAATTAGGAGAAAATTGCCAAGGCTGGCCATAATACAGGAAAGTGTGACAACAAGATAAGAAGCCCAAAAATATGACTAGTTCAACTTATAATTAATTGTTATATATATGACCCTAAAGTCCAAATAATTAAAGAGTAGCAGATACGCCATCCAATTGTAAGGCATTGACCAAATTAATTTATTTAGCCATGTTGATTTTGTAGCTGTGCATTAGTCATGATGTATAGCTTATTATATATCTTAGGATACTCCTATAAGTTCATGTTACATAAGTCAGACCTTACAATTCATACTTGCAAATTTCACTCTACACAGTTTAATTTGAGCTTGTAGAGAAGAAATGGCAGTTGGTATTGTCCCAACAAGTGAGGGTTCCGCGGATTACAATGGAAGGATTACGTGGTTTGTGGTGTTATCATCCATCGTTGCTGCAACCGGAGGAATCATCTTTGGTTATGATATCGGAATTTCAGGTTCTTTCAAATGTTTCCTCAACAGAACATGTTTACATATTTCTCAAATTTGTTGTTGCTAACTTTTACTCATGTGTTTTACAGGAGGAGTGATCTCTATGGCGCCGTTTCTGAAGAAATTCTTCCCAGAAGTGTTCACTAAGATGACACATGTAGCTGAAATAAGCAACTACTGTGTATTTGACAGCCAACTACTGACCTCTTTCACTTCCTCTTTATACATTGCTGGTCTTATTGCTTCCTTCTTGGCCTCACCAGTCACTCGTACATATGGCCGTAAACCAACAATTATAATCGGTGGAATAGCATTTCTCATCGGTTCTGCCCTTGGAGGCGCAGCATCCAATATCTACATGTTATTACTTGGTCGAATCCTGCTAGGTGTAGGTGTTGGTTTTGCAAATCAGGTACACTTTCTTCTCCTATTAACGCGCCTTTCATAAATTGTAGCTGTGTACATATATCATAACATATGTTTGAATTATGGCTGCAGGCAGTCCCTTTATACCTTTCAGAAATGGCACCTGCTAAGTACAGGGGATCTTTCAATATCGCGTTCCAATTATGTGTAGGAATTGGAGTACTATTTGCTAGCCTTCTTAACTACGGTGTTCTAAAGATTAAAGGTGGTTGGGGATGGAGAATTTCCTTAGCGATGGCTGCAGCTCCTGCTACATTTCTAACAATAGGAGCATTTTTTCTCCCAGAAACCGCAAACAGCCTAATTCAACATGGAAATGATCATCAAAAAGCTAAGAAGATTCTACAACGTGTACGTGGTACAACCGATGTGCAAGCAGAACTAGACGATCTCATCAAAGCAAGTGACAAGTCAAAAGCCGTCAAGCATCCTTTTAAGCAAATCATTAAACGGAAATACAGGCCACAACTTGTTATGTCAATATTAATACCATTCTTCCAACAGGTGACTGGGATCAACGTGATCTCCTTCTACGCTCCAATTCTGTTTCAAACAATAGGCCTAGGTGCGAGTGCATCACTTATGTCTGCTGTGGTGACAGGTGTGGTAGGCACCAGCGCGACTTTCTTAGCATTGTTGATAGTTGACAGGGTCGGGCGAAGGGCTATGTTCAGTTTTGGGGGAATCCAAATGTTTGTATCACAAATGTTGATAGGGATAATAATGGCAGTTAAGTTAGGAGATCATGGGGTGTTGAGCAAGGGGTATGGGCTATTGGTTTTGGTGTTGATATGCATTTATGTTGCAGGTTTTAGTTTGTCATGGGGTCCATTAGGATGGTTAGTTCCAAGTGAAATATTTCCATTAGAAATAAGGTCAGCAGGACAAAGCATAACAGTGGCTGTGGGGTTAATATTCACTTTTATAATTGCTCAGACTTTCTTGGCTATGCTCTGCCATCTAAAATCAGGGATTTTCTTCTTCTTTGGGGCATGGGTTGCAATCATGACTGTATTTGTCTACTTTTTCTTGCCAGAGACAAGGAATTTGCCAATTGAAAATATGGAAAGCATATGGAGGGATCATTGGTTTTGGAAGAGATTTGTTTTTTATCAGCAAGACTATGACAAGGGTGACACTACTTAAAAAGCTATTGCCACTCATTTGCTTCTCAAGCAATTCCAATATACTACTATAAGTTAAACATATTTCCTGTTGGATATGAATTGTAATTTGAAAAAGATTTACAGTTCAATACCCTCCATCTAGGGGAATTATAGTTGATTTTTTATGGTCTTTTTGTCAATGTACTCAATAGTAGTGGCACCTATTAGTTTCCCATTCATAAAAAGTGGCTAAATTGATATTTATGCAAAACACAGTGACTTCTTCTTCTTTTCTTTTTTTCCCTTTAATTATCTTATATTTAGTATCTTTTAACCTGACTAATTCAGATTCGTGCATAAAAAAGGCTTTCTACCGAGTATTTCTTTATTCCTAGGCTCGAACCATACTATTGTTGTTTTGGAGGAAAATAATGCAAAGATGCGCATGTAAAATTTCATGATTTAACTTCTTTTTTTTCAATAGCAAGCACATATTGATCAACAAAAAATTATTATACTACTTAGGAACGTTTCTAAAAGCTTTCCCTACAGTGTAATTAATATTACATCTGTCTTAATTTATGCGACACATTTTGTTTTTCAAAAGTCAAACAGTTGAAGTTCGGTTCAAATTTTTTAAAATGAAATTTATATATTTGTAAATTATGTAAAAAATATTATAAGTTACAATAACTGATAATTTAAAATAATTAAAAGATATATGAAAAATTTGTTTGAATCTCAAAATTTGAAATGTGAGTCCGTCCTTCACTTGAATCTCATTCCTCCCCCCAAAAAAAAGAAAAGACTAGAAAGGAAATTATTTATCCTCCCTCATTGTAGGTAAACTAAACATAGGGCATGTTGTCATGCAACTAAATAACAAGGTCAAATTAAAAGCAAAGGAAAATAGGAACGATGAGATAAGCGCGGGACGCGTTGCAGCGATATATTAAGTACGATTTGCTCATTAGCTGGAAGCTCGTTACCTAAGTTGACTGCTAAAATGAAAACAAAATATATTACTATAAACAACTATAGATGGGCCGGAATAGAGTTAGAGAGTCAACTAGGTTGTTTTGATTCAAAAATTGTATTTATTTTTAAAATCTATACATATTATTAATTTAGAACCCGATTATTTAAAAAAAATTAAAATTCTAATCCATATACTTCTGGCTCCATATCTACCTTCGCCATGGGATATGATCCTCTAGGTCCTATTATTTAATTCGTGATATTTCCGAGACGTATCTTTGTGAGATATGTTCATAAAAAACATCAATTAATTATCCCTTTAGACATCTATCTTACATAGGATTCGTAAATTAGAAAGAAAAAAAATTGAGCCAAAGGCCATTTGGAAGAGAATCGATAAATACAACCACAACATACACCAATGAAATCACACGAGAATAGAGTATACTAGATCTTCTCATTACCTCGTATAAGTAGACATGCTATATTCGAAGGACTCTTGGCTCGAGTACAGCAAATCAAAGTAAGTAAAAAAAGAAAAGACTATAGTGAAAAAAACATAGCAACTAATATGAAATGATAACAATAGATATAAAAATTCAATTACTAGATTTCTAGTTAAAAGATATAGAAGAAACAATTCATACAGAAAATAGGCTTAAAAAAAACACAAAATCAATCGAAGAAGCCTTTGTACAAGTAGCCGTTTTTCCTTCTTTATTTTTTTTTGTACCGACTTATTTACTCTTTTATTACTTCTCTTTAGAAAGAGAATAGGCAAAAAAAAAATCCTTTTATTTCTCTGTCTAATTTTGTTTTATATTGCTTTTTTTACTCTTTTATTCCTTCTCTTTAGTACTTAAGAGATATAGACAAAAAATTATCCATTAAATAAGTCTTTGATTGAGTTGACCTTTTCTCAGTTGAATTGTGTTTAGAAACTATTAGAGATTGGTGCTGAAAATTTGATATTTTATACTCCATCCGTCCCATTTTATATGACATTTTTCAAATTTCGAGATTCAAACAAATCTAACTTTGACCGTAATTTTTTCATAAATCTTTTAAACATTTTGAATTATCAATTGTTGTGAATTATAGTACTTTTTATGTAATTTACGAATATATAAATTTCATTTCAAAAAAATTGAAAATTTCATGCGCAAATTCCCTGTCAAACATAAACTGTTTGACTCTCGAAAAACTAAAAGTGCCAAATAAATTGGAACAAAGGGAGTATTTTTTTATTTTTTTTGTAAAAAATGTATAGGTAAATGAGAGTATCAGACTTGTTTCATGACTCACATTTTAACTTTATAATGATCAATGTAAATGTAATGTAACACTTGTAAGAAAATAATTATCAAAGATTTATTTTTTAGATATATGACTAGCGCATATACGTACTAGCTCCATTTCTATGATTGCTCTATCCATATGAACTAAAACTTTTTTATGCCTCCAAGCTCTGTCTCTTATTCTATGTAGAGGTTTTTGAATAAATCTCATTATAAAAATGAATTTAATTTGGCATGATATGCAAAAACATCTCGATGGTAAGCACGAATATGCCAATTCCTACATCAAAAGATGAGGAGAAAAGTCGAGCAAATGAAGCAACAAGCTCATCCTCAGCTAAGGCTGAAAAAATTATATCTGGAAAACCAGAAAGTAAAACTAACCAAAGCTGTGCGTGTATACCTTCCTTTTCTTTTGTCGATGAATAGTCCTATCACTGCCTCAGCAGTTCTCCCTTCAGGCCATGAACAGTTTTTCACCCTAACGACCTCAGTCTCCGGGAATGTGCAGGAATTGCAAGAATAGTTGAAGCAGAAATTCAACAAACCCAAATCCCAGAAGAATACGAAATTCGATTTGGAAAAACACAAGAAATAGGAAGTACTAGTAACCCTAGACTTTCGATAGAATATGGAAGAAATTCAATTAGAAAAAGTATATCCAATAGATATCCACTAAAAATTGAAACTCCCAATATAACAAAAAATATATGTTGTATATCATTATTTACCTCAATTGTAATTGCATGCAAATTTTTTTTATATTATTTTTTATTTAAAACTAAAACAACAGAGGACCTGTCCACTTTTTTGTTCATGTTGAGTATTATTATTCAGAAATTATAATTGCTTGCAAAACGTGTGTGTGTATATATATATATTATTTTTTTTTATTTTTTTATTATTATTATTTTCTTATTTTAAAAAAAAATAAAAAATTCAGAATTAGAAGTGGTAAAAAGTTTATCCAAAGGCGATTAAGGGATCTGGGATGAAAATATAATTATTTGAAGGGTCCTCATAACACTATAAGTCACATTCAATTTTTATGAAAAAATAATCATATGTGAAAACAATCGGGTAAACTAAAATTTGATTGAAAATTCTACTATATTATTCTACTTTCTACTATATTATAAAAGAGAGTTTAAGCCCAAATATAATATATAATATTCAAGTTGGGGACTTTTAAAAGGAAGTTTGTTGAATATTATATATTATATTTATTATATAGTAGAACTTGGGCATAAACCTATTTATTATTATTAATATTTTATTATTTTCTACTATATTATAAAAGAGAGTTTAAGCCCAAATATAATATATAATATTCAAGTTGGGGACTTTTAAAAGGAAGTTTGTTGAATATTATATATTATATTTATTATATAGTAGAACTTGGGCATAAACCTATTTATTATTATTATTATTTTATTATTTTCTACTATATTATAAAAGAGAGTTTAGGCCCAAATATAATATATAAT